AACACGGAAAACGGGTGGGGATGGACCCTGCCTCAACGCCAGGTACCACACCCAGGAGACCCTGGCAGTGGAGTGCTGATGCTAGGGTGATGCTGTGGATCCAAGTCCACGGCAGCCTGCTGCTCCACGACGGCACGACTCAGCCTTAGTGAAACCAAGAGCAAGCTGGAAGAGCTCCAGAAGTGCGTTGACGACCGTGAACAGGAAGCACGGCAAGGACGCACTTGGTGCTCTAGGATCCTTAAGACGAAAGCACAGACAGACAGTGTGCAACTCAGCAGGGCCCTAAGCAACTTAGTGAGGCCCTGTCTCAAAATAAAACATAAAAAGGGCTGGGGATATGGCCCGGGGATCATGTGGCCCTGGGTTAATCCCTGGTACCAAAAAAACAGGAAGCACCCCACTTTAGAACCAGATATGGAAAACTGACACCATGGTAGAGGCCAGAGCAAGCAAAATGGTAATGACCCTGTGGACAAGGGAAAGACTCTATCATCCCTTTTCTTCTAGGTTAGACTGAGCCACTTTTACCAGACATGACCAAGCAAAGAGAGAACACGAGGGAAATGCAATTGTCCCCACTAGGCAGCAGTGAATGCTGGCCTCATACCATGCTGCTGCCAGTCCACAGCCCGTGGACTGCACCTGGCTCTGCTGCAATCCCAGGGAGGACAGGAAGGCTCCTCCGCGATCCCAGGGAGGATGCAGCCATTGCTGATGGCCATCTGTTCCCAGTCAATCTATAATGATGCTTCTAGGAGCTGGCTCTGTGAGGGCACCTCTCCCACTACGCCCCGCAACATGCCAAATGGTTAAACCCAAAGGGATGCAGCAAAAGGCCCAAGAAGGCGGCGTGGGGTCAGTAGGACGTGGCAGTCTGGCAGCTGTGCAGGCTCATGACTGGCAGCTCTGGCTCCTCTGATGCGAGAATTCTTTAACTAAAGGGACTGTCTCTCGATCATGGGGCTGGGGTAATCGGATGAACCGTGGACCACAGCAGAGTATACGAGAACCCCATGGAGCGCAGTGTTGGGGCAGGCCTGGAACCCACTGGATCAGGCCTGTGGCTTCCCGCAGGCAAGCTCTGCTGCAGCACTGACAGTCTTAATGAGAACCTGGAGGTGGGCAGTAAACCCCTCATTAAGCTGTTTTAAAGCATGGATCCAGGAGTGGCCAGGGTGGTGGTTCATGTGGAGCATGTAACTCCTAACTCACAACAGCTGGCGGGAGGTGCTGCTGTGACGGAAACACCCGAGTTCCAGGGTCCCAGTCACATGAGCATCCCATGCAGCCTGGGCCGCCAAGCAAAGCCCAGAAAGCAGACTAACAATGCGGGGCAGTGGCTCACTCAGCCAAAAAAGGTGCCCCCACACCACTAAGGGCCACGTGCACACAGAAATGCTCCAAATGAAGCGGCAAAGGGCAGAGGGAAGCCCAGCCCTGTGCCCTGCAGGGGAGTGTGGGCCCACCATGAGCCAGTCACAGAGAAATGCCAGCCTGGAGTGCCACCTGGTCCCCACCCCCAGCCTATGGCCACCCTGGTTGCTTATTTTAGGCTAAGATGCAGTCCTTGTGCCTGTTATGTGGACGGTGCCCCCCCACCTGGCCCCACGTGTCCACAGCTCACTGTAGTGCCATCAGGACAGATGCCACGGACACTGCCTGCCTGTTTCTGCTCTGAGGCTGTGTGTGGCAGCCAGGGGTATGGTAGGGCTTGCTATCCAAGTTCCTCCAGACTCTTCAGTGTCCAGTTCCCACCACGGGTCAGCGGGAGAGAAGAGAAGGCACCTCCTGAACAGTGCTCACAGCGCACAGGCCACCCAGGACTTGGCCATCAGACCTCTGCTGCCACAGCCTCCATCCTGGCCCTTGGTGCTGGCGAGGGGCACCCAGCCCCAATCCCAGGGGCATCTCCAGCCTGGCTCTCCAAAACTGCCCTGCCAGACACCCCTTTGCGCCTCTCCCCGCCCCCCCGCCCTGTGACCAGCCACAGTCTGCTCTCTGCAAGGCCAGTCCATATCTCACGACCCCTGAGAGGACACCTGGAGGTCTATGCCTACACATACCCAAGTCCACCAAAACAAAAACCACCATCAAAGAACTCACAAAATGTTTTGGAGCCTAAAGCACTCCAAATCCTCGGGAAAAGCACTGCTCTCCCCCCGGGACTGTCTGCCAAGGCCCAGGACCTGGCGAGGCCTGGGCTGCCCAGTCAGCATGCACACTGACCTCACTATTGCCCTCAGGACCTCCTGGGCCCATCAGGAGGCATGTTGGTAGCAGGCCCTCGTCACAAGTGTGCCCTGCCTATCACATCCCCAGAGGGACCAGCCTACTGTCCCTTGCGCTCCACAACCCAGGCCTGGGTGTAACTCTGCAGAAGCCTTGGGGGCACCAAAGACTCGCTTGGAAGCAGCTGCAGCCCTCTGCATGTGCAAGCCGGTCAGGGCCAGGCAGGGCCAGGCAGGGCCAGGAGGCCCAGGAGGAATGGACCGTAGGGGCTGGTGCACTTGGGGAGGGTGCCTGCCAAGCCTAGAAGTCAGCTGGTGGCCACCAGGGCAGAAAGAGTCCCTAAAGTGCAACTGACCCACACAGGAGCCTCAAGAAGCCCACTGCTGCAGGGGCAAGATGCACCCAGCACCCACGGGGCACCAAGTGACCCCTCAGACTCGGCCTTGGAAGGGCACATTACCAACACAGCAGCCTTCAGAGTTCATCAAGGCCAGCTTTCAATAGAGATGCGGATGTAGAGCCGGTGGCAATCAGTGTGGCTTTCCTGTGTCTTGGGAACGGCCCCACTCACACAGCTGCACTCACTGGGTGACCACATCTGCCTACACACAGGAGAATGAGACCTGGGGACCTGCTGGGCAGTGCAGCTGCCGACCAGGAGGACCCCTGGCTACCACGATGGAGAGGGACCACCTAGGACAGCTGAAGATGCCAGCAGGAGCACAAGTTCTGGGGAACATGGTCATTTGAGACAGGAGGGCACCAGCAGCCTCGCCATCCAGGGAGGCCACAGTTCTGGGGAAAGTGGTCATCTGAGACAGGAGGACACCAGTAGGCCTCACTGTCCAGGGAGGCACGGCAGGGTGGCTGGGCGCACTGGCATCCTGTGAGCCCAGGTGGCTCCTGCAGCCCTTGGAGGTTGGCTAGAGGAATGGGTGCTCTGAGTGGCACTGGGCAGACCTTTCTGCAGCCTGAGGAGGCCTAACTGGCCCTGAGCAGCTGCTGGCATGCCGAGGGCAACTGTGCACCTGAGAACCAGCATCCCCGTTGAAGTCAGGGAAGCTGAACTCAGAAACGCACGTGGCCAAAGGGTGCCACAGTCCTGAGGCTCTGGAAGTGGGGCTCCTGGCGAGCCACCAGCTCCTGAGGGGTATGGCCCTGGCGCAGTCTGTGCAGGCAGCTCCAGGCTCACCACAGACACACAAGGCAGACACGCTCAGAGTAACTAAGATGACACATAAGCCTGATGTGACCAGGGGCTCACTGTGAAAACAAGTCCTGCAGGGGACCCCAGCAAGGACAGAGGAAAGACTGGAACAGTGTGCCCGGCCTCGGACCCACCCACCCCTCTGCTGTGCTCTCGACGGCAAGTGGGGGGGCTGTGCTGAGGCGCAAGGGCTGCAGTGAGCCTCATGCCCATGTCTCTGTTTGCTGTCATTGGAACGTGACCACAGAGAGATGAAGGTCCTCTCCCTCAGGGACCATCGGAGGCAGCATGACAACAGTCAATGGCTTCTGAGCCCGAGGTCATTAGATGCTGAAGACAAGTGGGGATAACGTGTAACCAACGCAGACAATGCCAACAGCAGCAGGAACAGGCAGCTGTTCTGGTGTGGAGCACCAAGGAGCCCAGTGCCCAGTGCCCTGGTGAGCTCTGCCAGGATCTGGCCCACAGAGCCTCAGGTCCCGCCACCCACAAGGCCCCTTTTATCAGAAGCGTGGACTCAGTGAGGTGGTTCTATACTGGAAAACCTGGGTGTGAGGCCAATCCCCACTACTGCTGGCCTACGCCTTGGCATCCAAGGCAGGGGCAGCCTGGCCACTTCACGGGCCTAAGAACGCAGGGAGCACCAGTCTACTCAAGCCATCAGTGCACCCAGTCTCCACAATGTGCGCCTACTCTGCCTCACAAACTTGGAACTCACTGCACCAAGGAGCAGGCATCCCCACCCTAATAAAGATCTCTAGGCCCTAAAGTCCCAGTCCTCGTGACAGCTGGAAAACAGTACTCTCACAATTTTAAGCAAGTAAATGTACTAAGTGTTTGTCAACCTAAGTGTGGGCGTGTGCAGGATTCTGAGGGGGATTCTAATGCCAGATAACCAAGAGCAAACATGGATATCCTGGAGCCTCCATGTTCTGGCTGGCCCATTCCCTAGGGGACAGGTGCTACTTGTGCTAAGAAATGGGTGAGGCCCAGGCAGGGTCAGGGCGCTGGCATAGGACCACAGATGACAAGGTGTGGAATGAAAACCTGCCTCTCACTTTCCCTGAAGGCTGGGGTGCAGGTCGACTTAGAAACCCACTGTGAGCCCACTGAGAAAATACCTGCTGTCCATGGCCAGCCTGTCTACCTGGGCTGCCCTCTGCTCCACTCCAGGGGCTCCACCTAGCATGGCCTGGGGACCCAGGATCCCCTTCCCATGCAATGCACAAACCAGCATCAGTGCCACACGCAGAGTCCCTAAAGTGCAACTGACCCACACAGGAGCCTTCTCTGGCTCAAGGGCCCAGAGAAGGGGGTGCTGGCCAGGTCGGAGCACCTGGAAGCCCACGAGCCCCCATACCTCACCAGCCATGGTCTGGGGAAGGGCTGCCTGGTTAGGACTCCATGTTGGTCAACAGGGGCTGCACCCAAGCCACCCAGCACACTGGAAGAGCTGGTGGAAGATGCTCAAGCAAAGAGAAAAGCCAGGGAGAGTGTGTAAAGATACATACCCCAACGTATAACAAGCCCCCGCAGTCCTTCCCTAAATCATCTCACTTACCAAAAGAATACCTGAAAAACAAAAGAAAAAACTGTATTCAGTTTAATTGGCTCACTTTGACCCCAAATTTATAAGATTAACCTCTGTGTTTCCCACTAGGGAAGCCCACCCACAAGCCCAGGCCAGGAGGACTTGGTCCAGGACTGGGTGGTCAAATAGACACTGTCCACAGAGCCCATGCAGGGCAGGCCCCCAGGCCACTGTGGCCAGAAGCTGCTGTGGGCAGGAGCAGGAGGAAGGCTGGGATCTTCACAAGCATAGCACTACAGAAAATGCCACACCCTGGAGCCTGCGCACTCAGAGGGCACCCACCTCAAACACAGGACACCAGAGCCTGGGGCTTCAGGCACTTGGCGGGCTCTGATCCATTGCCAGGACCTGAGAAAGGCCCACTTTCCTGCAGAGCTGTGGCAGGCAGTGGCTAGTGTTCCAAGGCAGCACAGCCAACACATGTGAGGACCCCAAACCACATAGTGACGTCCCCACGGTATGCTGGAGGCAGACTGGGCCTGGGCTTGACCAGACACCTCACGCTTGCCTCAGAAGAGTCCACCCAGCCCCCACCCAGAAAACCTGCCTCAGATCAGGAGTGAAATCCCCTTGCCATCTTTAACACACAAGTACCTCCAGCCAGCAGAAGGAAAGATGCACCACATGCTGCAACTGAGACGGGTGTGGAGATAAAGCAGACACAAGGCCACACGCTTAGGCCCTTGTCTGTGTGACGGTCCAGACAGCTAGATCCACAGACAGCGGCCAGTAGTCACAGGTTGGGGAGGGCATGGGGGGACAGCTGCCAGATACAGGCTGCTTCTGAGGTGCAGAAGTTTTAAGATGGGTGTGGCAATCATGCCTGTGATCCTAGCTCCTGGGGAGACTGAAGCAGGAGGATCCAGTTCAAGGCCAGCCTCAGCATCTCAGCGAGGTCTGTGTCAAAATAAAAAGGACTAGCGATGCAGCTCCGTACAGAGCACTTGCCTAGCATTCAGGAGGCCCTGGAGGCAATCCTCAGCACATACAAAACACACACACACACACAAACACACAGTGAAATAAATGCACAGAGAACAAAAGGACATGGGCAGCATCCTTGAGCCTACTTGTCACAAAGAAACCTGGGTCCCAGCAGCTTGGAGCTGGCTGTGCCAAGCTGCAGGACGTGGGGCAGCTTGGTCCCTTGGTGGTCCTCGAGTTAGAGATGTGAAGAGCTGCCCTAGAGGCAGCCCCCATGGCTCTCCATGACTTCCAAAAGCAAAGCCAGATGCAGGAGTCCACGTCTCCGACTGAGACTCCCCCCACTCCTCCAGGTGGCTCAGAAGCAGGAAATGACCAGGAGCCTCTGCCCATACACCCTTTGAAGAGGCTTCTCCATCCCTTTGCAGGGAAGAAAGTGCCAAAGAGGAAGAGGACCCCTGAGACACTTGGCTTGTCCCACATTTCCTGAGAGGATCTTTCCTTCCTCACGAGGGTCTGGGAGGTGGAGGACAGAAGAGCTGTGTGTCATCCTGAATAGCAACAAAGAAACACTTTGGGGTCAGTGCCAAAGCAAAGTACAGATAAAAGAACCAGAAACCCCACGTTTCAGAAAAGTCAAGTCAACAAAGAAACCAGTTACAATTAGGCGACCAGAGCTGGGGCACATGGCTTTAGGAAAGCCACAATCTTTTTCCCTAGTGGCACTGAGATGCTCTACCTGGAGTCACGTCACATCAGGGCCCTTTTTATATTTTGAGACAGGGTCTCACTGAGCTTCCCAGGCTGGCCTGGAACTTGTGATGCCCCTGCTTCAGGCTCTGCGACCTCTGGGATGGCAGGCGTGTACCAAGGCACCTGGCAAGAAAGGCCAGTTTTGATCGGGGTTGGATTGTTCTTTAAAATCGCTTAAAAGTTTATGTAGTCAAAGTTATTAAACTTTTCTCTGTCTTATGCCTCCAATCCTAAATGTTTACCTTCCTAGCCTGGACACCCAGGGTACAAAGCAAGTATGTGTCAGTCCATGCTGATAAAACCAATGGCTGAGCAGATCCAGGGGGACCAGAGGCAGCGCCCCGTGCAGAGTCTTGCTATGGGGTCCTGCCCTGGGCACGGGAGGACAGGGGAAAGTCACCTGCTGGGTACATGCAGGCGCCTCCCGAGTCTCCCTCCCAAGCCCAGCTCCTGTCCAGCCATGGGGAACCACAGGCCAGTCCCAGTAGAGGGGCTCCCCAAACCATCCCAGCATCAGAAACAAGGGAAGTTTGAGAAGAACCTCAGAGCCTATGTGTCCCCTGGGGTCCTGGATGGGGTCCCAGGCCAGGAAAACCAGGGAGATGTGAATCAAGTGGACATCAGTTCCCACAAGTATGTCCACACTGATACAAGACAGGGGGAAGGGGGATGCTTTCACAAAACTCTGGATCCAAAACTGCTCTGGCAACATCAGGGGGTCGAACAGCCTCTTGTTCCCTGTAGGAAACGCAGAGCGGCGTCCAGGGAGCCACGTCCCATGATGACACTCAGCAGCTGCAGCAGGTTCCAGAGGCTGACAGCCAATGCTCCCTCCTGAGGTGGGGCTTGGTCACGGGCCCTGGTCTAACCAGGGAGGTGACAGGTCACAATGAGAGGGGACAGGACAGGACTCCAAGGGGAGCACTGGCAGCTCACAGCGCAGCAGGGAGACAGGTCAAGGCAGCCGTGATAGGCGCTGTTCCTAACAGTGGCACGCTAGATGAATGGACACATCTTTCCACTACCCGTGCTTGGTCCCAGGCAGCAGCCACTCTTGGGGGAGCATGATGTGTACCTGCCAGGGCCACAGCTACCAGCGTGCACATTGTCTGAGTGGCCCAGACCCAAATGAATGCTCTTTTCTTCAACAAAATCAGTGAGGCACGAAGGAACCGACTGTCTGACTGCTGTCCTGGCCCTCAGGACAGCCTCTCTGCCTGGCAGGTCCAGCCTCCCTTGCACAGCCCCAGGCTACTTTCCCCTAGCACAGCTACCCTAAACTGCCACCGTCGGGGAAGCCAGGGTCCAGGCTGCAGGGAGGGCATCTCTCATTTCAACATATCCACAGGAGGGGACAGAACCTCTTTCCAAATTAAAAAAAAACACAAAACTGTTCTTGGCCATAAGTCCTCAAGTGGTTTTCAAACATTTAAACTTCCACAAGTCCTCAAGGTGGTTTCCAAACATTTAAATGTTGAGTGGATCTTTCCTGACCAAAACATCACAGATCAGTAAAAAGCACCTTTCAAAGCAAAACAGCACACTCCCCTGGCTGAGGACTCCCCAAGGCCCTATGCACTCACAGGACGAGAGAGTCGCCAACGTGTACACCACAGGGGCTCCTGGCTGTTTTGGTTTTTTTAACTCCAATTGCTGCAATCAGGCACAGCTACCTGAAGTTCTCCCTCCTCTGGTTTGGATTAAAATCACGATGTCTCAGTCACAGCAGCCTCCAGGATGTCACAGAAAAATGCAGCCAGAATCACCATATGCTTGTCAACTGTCACCACCAGAAGACAGGAAAGGTCAGTCACCTAGTAGGCAGCAGCCTGGGATCCTGCCTGGGGAAAGCAGATGGGCAAGGCAAGCTACCCTCAGCTCACAGTACTCTGCACACAGATGTCCACCTGGGGCAGCCAGAGGGCCTGGACAGGGTAGGCAGCTGCTGGACTGTGCATCCACCAAGGGGCTGTATGAGAACCTGTGTCCATCCTTACCCTTCAATCAAAAAAGTGACAGATCAGATTAAGTCCTGTCCAGGAAATAACAGTTTCCATATGTATGCACTGTGACACGTCCCTGGCCACTCGGTGACCCCTGAGAAGGTCTAATAAAGCATGCCTGGGCCAGAGCCACAGCTGCAATAAGCCCCTTGGTTCTCCTTTGGACAGTACACAGCTTAGCATCCTGATCTGCACGGCTTGTGGACAAACTAGAATGGCCCCAAGTTCCTTTCACTAGAGGACAGAGCTCTGGCCAGTGTGGCAACGTGGCACGTGGACACCAGGCCCGTGGCAAGCAGCAGGGGCCATGCCTGCTCTTCTGCAGTCTGGCTCAGGAGGGCTGCCTTCAAGCCTGAGGCTGGTGCCAGTCATATATATCCCAGCCTGCAAAGTCTTTGACACACCCACAGGGCACAGGGGCCAGAAAAGCCCATGATGAGAGGGGAGGCCCAGACCCTGGGCAGGAGCTTGGAGTATACCAAGATAACCTGGCAAAGTCACAGGGAAGTTGCCAAGTCAGCTCTGCAGATGGCCCCCAGTGCCAAATCCCACAGCTCCTAATGGAACACTGCAAGGAGCCCCAGAAGTCCTCCACAGCCTACATCTCTACACAGGTGCCCAGGTCTACCTCCCACATGTCCAGGAGACACTGTCCCACACTCAGAGCTGCCTGTCCATCTGTGGTCCACAGGACTTCGGCTTTTACAAGTCCAGTGCCCCCATCTCCACAGTTCCAGAACCCACACTAAGGGACAGGGCCAATCTGTGATCCCAACAGTGCCTGCTGCTGGCTGTGTGGCTCCTTTAGAGCAGGGAGGGGAGGAAGGAGGACGCCTTGGGCCAGGCCTGTCCCTCAGCACACGTGCAGCAGCCCACCAGCGACTCTGCCTCTACATCTCCCATCTGCCATGGCTCAAGCAGGCAGGAAATGTAGTCCCAAGTAGGGACATGCCTCTACAAGCAGAAAGGCCCTGCCCAGTGGCAATCGGCAGCCCCTACCACCTCCTAAGTGACCATGACGCTCCTCTGGGTTGATTTAAGAAGACTCATGCCCCCTCCAGGTACCAAGAGCCCTGAGGAGTATGTGCAGGGTGCTCCATCCACTTGGTGTACTAACAGGCCTGGCAATGCCTGTGCCCTAGCTCTACTCACCAGACTTGTCCCACGTTGACCAAGGACAGGTAGAGACCCCAGAGAGCAGCCATGAGGATCATGTTGGCACAGCCAGTTATCAGGACAAAGCTCGAGATGCCCAGTCCAAGCAGAGCCAGCAGGTCCAGGTTGAAGTCCATGTTTGACCAGTCCAGCAGCCAGATGATGGTGGGTGCATAGCTCCAGGCATCCCAGGCACCCTGCTCCCGGAAGTACTGCTGCACGCTCTTCAGGTATGCCCTGCAGGGCAGCAGGCCTCGGTCACCAATCAGCTGCTTGTTCTGTTGCAAAGCCACCAGGAATGCCACGGCTGGGAGAAAAAGGCCACACACAGGGATGTGAGTGGGAGCAAGCCCTGGAAGCACGGCTTCTAACTGCCCCAGTGCCTGTCAGCAGGGTGACCCCACAGAGCTGAAGGCTGCACTACTACTCACATGGAAGCCCAGCTACCTCAACTTGAACCCCAAGTCAGAGTTCATCCCCAGAGACCACACCTTCACGGCAGCACTCATAGCCTCAGACCCCAGGTTATATGACTGGAAAGAACCTTGCTGCTTTGGTACCGTGAGAGAGAGCCCACGCCTGTCCACCTAGGGAGGAGAGGACCAGGCCAGTCAGTACTGTGAGGTACAGCCCATGCCTGTCCACTCAGGGAGGAGAGGACCAGGCTGGTCAGTACTGTGAGGGACAGCCCATGCCCTGTACACCCAGGGAGGAGAGGACCAGGTCAGGGCCAGCGCATACCAGGAAACATGATTTGGTCTCACCAATTTGATGATTTCAGAGACTGATTCCAAGGCAAGAAGCACAGGGAACTTCCTATTGAGGGACAGGCCATGCCTGTCCAAGCAGGGAGGAAAGGACCAGGCCAGTCAGTACTGTGAGGGACAGGCCATGCCCATCCACCCATGGAGGAGAAGACCATGCAAGCACTGAGAAGCTGTTGAAAAAGCAACAAAAACAAAAGCCAGCTCCCTGGAAACATCTGTAGGAAGACTGCCCAGCCAGGAGAGGGCAGAGGCACCCAGGGGCCAGTGGGACACTGCTTGCAAGAGAAGAGACATTCTAGTGTGCACACGATGGCCTGGTTCCATACAAACAGCTCTTCCCGCCTCATCAGGCTTCTGACACCTTTATCCACCCAGAGGAGCTGGGGCTCCTTGAAGAGGTGGCAGACTCCAGGGCTGGGCAGGGAACAGAAGTGGGGCTACGGCATTCTGTGGGTTAAACAGGTGGAGGCACCTGGACAAACAGGTGGAGGCATGCCAGGGTGCAAGGAACAACCCACAGGGACCACCAGTAGCCATAGCTGGGCAATCTAAGCAGCATAGTCATCTTGCGGAAGCACAAGCCCGGTGCAGACTGGACATGGAGTCCAAGGTGCACAGAGGATTGGTTACAAACAGATGTGAGAAGACGCAGCCCTCCTTTCAGAGGATTCCAGAGTCCCTAGACACCCTCTCCTGGAGATGCTGTGGATCCCTCCTCCCCTGGGCCTGGGCTCAGGGACTGGTTGCCCAAGACAGAGTAGGCAGAAAGTGCAGTTAGGCAGAGGGGACAAGCAGCAGCCACATCATAACCAGGTGACCCGTGTAGGTATCACAAGAAGGGCCCCACTCAGTGGTAAGATCTTCTCCAAACCCACTGCCCCAGTGGATCATGAGAAAACATCAGACAGAACCAACTTGAGACCCAACTTGAGGGATGTTCTGTAGAATACACATCGAGGAATCTGCACTGTCAAGGTCATGAGAAAGCAGGGCTAACACCGTGGGGGAGTCCCTAGATGGGGTCCTGGGCTTTAGTGAAAAATCCATAGTGCACAGTTTGACTAATAGTTAAAAAATATTTAAAAAGTAAATGTTTCTTAAAAATCCACCAAATGCAATTCAGCAAGAAGACCCTGAGCCCTGCCTCCCTCCTGACTGAGGGAGGAGCTGACCAGCAGAAACAGCACAGGGTCCAGGGGCTACCAAGGGAGAAACCATGCTGAGGGCTCCCCAGGCCTTCCCCCGTACCCTGCTCCCCACTGCTCCTGCCTGTAGCACTGGGCAGGAGTGGCCTGAGTCTACCTGCCACTGCCCTTCCCAGCAACCTGGAGGACACACCACAGCCCAGCAGCCACACCCAAATGTGCCGCATCAGCTTCCAAGAGGGCCCAGGCCAGGTGCATGTGCACCCAGGCATTGTCTGTAGGTGAAGGGCAGGTGCCTGGCTTTGCGTCACTGGCAGGAGCTCCTTCCACAGAGGGCCCAACCAGCCAGGGCTGAAGCACTGGGCAGCTCCTCCCAACAGCACACTGGGAACTCCAGCGCATACCAGGAAACATGATTTGATCTCACCAATTTGATGATTTCAGAGACTGATTCCAAAGCAAGAAGCAAAGGGAACTTCCTATTTATCAGAAACAATGAAGACAGACTGGGCTTAAGTTTCACAGGAAAACAGCCTCTCTCCACGTCAACCCAAGTCAGAGAAACATCTACGGAGAAAGGAACCCGTGTTGTTTCAAAGCACCACAGGATCTCACAGTGAAACCAACCACCAACCTGTGAAGAAAGATGGGAGCAGGAAATGCCAGGTGGCCCAAGGAGGCCTCGTCCAGGAGGACTGGCAGGTCTGCAGAAGCCACTCACCCTTGCACTGGGGCTGAGATACAGCTCAGTGGCAGAGCACGTGGGAGGCCCTGGGTTCAATTCCCAGCACTCTACAGGAAAAGTTTTCTTTATGCTGTCCCTCTCAGATGACCTGCTCTAATGTTAGGACACACCTTCCCGACACACCTCCCACTAGCTGCTCTTCACAACGCCTCTATGTTCTTCTTTACAGTTATGTGGCTATGCGCTGGCCCCTGCTCAGAGGTAGGCGCGTGCTTTCTGACACCGCAAGCGCCACGGAGGAGCCTAGAAGCCGTGGAAGCCACGCAGCACATGCCCCCCACCCCCAGGCCTGGGGAGGAGGAACAGCACCTGCCTCCTGAGGACTCACATAGCAGACTCAGCAAGCAAGACCAGGGATACTTTTGGTTCCACTTTTCTCTTAAATTTTCCAAAGAAACGCTAAAGTTCAGCAAACAAGGTGGTCTCAGGCCCGCCAGATTTCCCTTAGTAGAGGGCTGACAAGCCCTGGCTCTGCCCAGTGCTATGTAGACTCACCTCACCTGCTGTGGAGTCGTCTGCCCCACACGACAGGACACCAGAGCAGCTGCCCAGGATGCACCTGACAGGCTTCCCGCACACTGCATTCCCCAGGGCAGTGCAGCAGGCAGGCAAACCCACACACACTGCATCTGGCCCCAGCCAGGCCTGGAGCCTTTACACCAGGTTTTTAAAGAAATCTTACCCACATGAGTCCTGCACATGGGTGCAACTATCCTTAGCAGGGGGACAGTCCACCTGAGTCCAGCCCAGGGAACACGAGTGTGTATCTAGCCTCTGCACAGCACCTGGCAGCAGGGTGAGGCCATGCATCCTCCCGCCTCCAGGCAGCCTTAGCAAACACCGCACTGCCACAGGTTCCAGGAGTCCACGGCAGGGGTTTCAGAGGCTCTGCACTGGTCATTTCCTCAACATCCTCTCATGGGGTGCTTTAAAGAATCCCTTACTCGGGCTGGGATGTGACTCAAGCGGTAGCGTGCTTGCCTGGCATGTGTGGGGCCCTGGGTTCGATCCTCAACACCTCATAAAAATAAAATAAAGATATTGTGTCCACCTAAAACTAAATAATATTTAAAAAAAAAAGAATCCCTTACTGCTTGGAGCCACTGCACAAAGGGACCTTAGTACTTCTGTTTAATTTCTAGAGTGGGCAACGGCATGACAGCTCTGTGCTCAGCCGGTGAGCAGGCAGCCACAGACCCTCCTGCCATGCCCCAGGAAGGCTCTGGGGGGTCTCTGCCAGCTTCCCTCTTCCTCAGAGAACAACAGGTCACATTTTTTGATGCAATGACCATTGGTAGGGGGCAGTGTCTCAGGGAAGCCCACATTGCCCTGTGACCCTGAATGCAGTGCCCACTCTCAGGCTGTTTCCTCATTGCACTTGGGGACCGCAACAGTGGGTGCCATTTCATACTCCAGAGTACCCGATCCCATGACTTAGGCTGCAAAGTCCCATCACAGGAAAACAGCAATCTGGGTCCAGGGGTGCCCACCACCTCCTCCAAAGCCTCAATCCTTCCAGGGAATCTTCACTACCCAGGTGTAAACCTGGTGCTCAGGACACTGTGCTGTGATGGGGAGTGGTGCAGGGACAGGCCTCCAGGGACCATCACACTCATGGTGACTCACAGCCAGGACTGACGGTGCCCTTCGCTGTCCCCCAGAGATGATGGCGAACCCAGTGAATGCACCGTGAAGCACCGTGGGCTGCAAGTGTGGTGCTTGCAGCACCACAAGCATTCTCAGGGCAAGTCCACGTACTACAGTGACAGGGACCTGAGTGGCCTGGCCTCAGCTCCAGCATATGCCCAGCGGCTGGCCCCATGCACTCAGATCTGGGTAGAACTCACCCCTAGCACCTACACACGCCAGCACTCCACAAATAAACACCATGCCCCTGTTGGAGGCACCGGGAAGGCAGAGCACTGCCGCCGGCCTCCAGCTGGCTGCGCGGCTTCACTGGCAAGCAACTGTCCTGTTCTTCCTCAGCAGGTCTCCTCACCCAAAGCACCTTTGTCATGTGCCTCATAAGACGCTGTGCATGAGGCCAAGCCTCCCTAAATTCAATGCCTCTCAACAGGAGGCTTCCCATAGAACACACATGGTTATGTTTGATCACATATCCTTCAGTAGCTGGAAGTATCGCAAGACTCAACATTCCAGTGAAATATCTGGAGAAGTCCTATAGCACCTTGGAAGAGCCCTGGGATCCCGAGAGACAGTGTGATGCAGTGCCAGTGAGATCCAGGACCTCCTAGAAAGAGCCCTTGCAGGAGGACTGCCCACTTGCCCACAACTCTCAGCCAGAAAACCACAACCCTAAAGACAGAAAACTGGTTCTCCCTAGATGCACTTACTCACAAGGTAGAAAAGAAATGCACGGATCACAGCAAATTGCTAGGCACCAGATTGAAAATATTTGCTCCTTTCTGTGGTTTACAGTGGTTCCCTCCGAAGTAAACAGAGACCAAAAGCTCCACTGGCTCACGTGGAAACCCGAGCCCCAACTTACAGATCTGTGCTGGAGGCTCCCCTGCTTCATGCTAGTGAGGTCTCACAAATGCACTTTTAGGTTGGTCCTGTCTCTGTGTCCCTGCAAACTTTCAGAATGACTCCTTAGTACTCTGCAGGATGAGGCAACCCCGAGCATGGCTATTTTCCACAGTAGCTTAAAGAGAGACTGAGTGGAAGTTCACACGGGCAACCCCAGTGACTACTGGGCAGGGCCCCAGCTCTCCTCTGCACTCACACAAAACCCAAAGTGGACCTGGCTCCTCCACAAGCCAGCTTCAGCAACTCCTTCCACGTGTGAGGAAATGAAGCAGAGACGCTCTATACCCACCATGGAAAGCCATGCCTAGGCAGGGCCAGGACAGCCCCTCTGGAACTAAGGGTGACTGCCCTAGCCCAGCAGGGCTGTCCAGGCTCGGCCTTCTCACGGCCTTCAGGCTTACGGGGGACTCTGTTTGGTCTTCCTTATCAACAGGCTGGGCCACATGCTCAGAGAACCATACCCTCAAACCAAAATTCAGGGTTTTTGGGAACCCAAGTGGGAAGTATTTGGGATTGGCAGCTGCCCCACCCCCAGCAGGGCGGGGCATGAGTGGCAACAGAAGGCAAAGGTGACCATGTCGAAGTTACCAGCTAAAAGCCCTTGTCCTCCCCTAACCCCTAGGGCAGCACCGCTGAGACCCTATACAGGGAAAAGGAAACACAACTTCATACAATCTCAAGGAAAATCTAGGCACACACACCGGTAGCCTAATGAGGGTCCAGTCTCGCAGGAAGGTGCAGGACACCGGGAGAAGAAATAGACTTCCGTACAGGGGCGAAGCGGACTCAAGCAGGGGAGAGATTCCCTTGTAGGTATAGGATGGGCTCCAGTGCGAGGAGGATTGGGGGGACCGAGCGGGCTCGTGCAGGAGCGGGGCGCGGGCTCCCGTGCAGGGGGCGGAGCCAGCGGACGGGGGGCGGAGCCGACGGACGTGGGTGGGGAGGACAAACGGAGGGGGGGACGGGGGAGGGGCGGTGAGCTTTCTCGTAAGGGCGGGAGGAGCGGGTGCTCACGCAGGGGCGGGGCGGGCTCTGGCGTAGGGGCGGAGCGAGCGGGAGAAGGGGGCGCTTGTCCACGGGCGCGGGCGGCTTCTTGCGCCGCCAGGCACTTACAGTAGACGAAAGCGAGGGCCCTCAGGAGCACGATTCTGGTCAGCCAGAAGGTGCCGGTGCGCAGGCGGGTGGAGCAGCCAGCGTCATCGCGTCCTGGTGCGGGCGGCGACCCAGGCCCTGGGCCCGAGCCCCCGGCCTTCCGCCTCCTCAGTGACCCCTCGGGCGCAGCCATTGCTGCCATCTCAGCGCCTGCGCGGGGAGGACGGATCGCAGAGACCACGCCCTGGCCACGCCCACTGTCTGGTGGGTCTTGCCCACGCGCGGGCAGGCACCCTCCCTCCGCAAGCTTCTGGGGCGTTGCCCTGGGAGGGCTCAGGGGCCGCTCGGGATTCCTTCACTCCTTGGTTCGTTCCGCCAGCCGGTGTTGCGAAAGTCCCGGGCGCTGGCCTTCTAGGGAAGAAGCGCCATGGAGGCGAATGGAAAGTGCGTCCTGCGCTCCCTGCGGTGTGGATCCGGTGCCTGCACAGGGGAGGCCGGGCCGCGAGGATCGCGGGGTGCAGGCGCCTCCTTTTTGCTTTCCGCGGAGGAAGCTGGGCAGCCGACGCAATTGGTGGGGTACAGAGTGGGCAGGGCCGACTCCAGCTTCCTAGCCCACCCGAAATTCCATGGGGGTGTCTGCACAGCCATCTAAGCTCCTACTAGATAGGCAACGTTCCTACAGGCTTTGAGCAAAGAGGGACCATCGAGGACTCAGAGGAGGGAAGAACTTATCACCGACCAGAGCAGGACCCCACGAAAGCTAGCAACTCTGCTTCTGATAGTAGAAGCCATTCAGTCGCTGTTGGGGGGGTGTTGCTCTGAGACTGTGGATCGGTGAATCAGGCATTCCTGAGACTTCTCAGAGGGAAGATGCGCGCAGGACAGTGGGCACAACCCTAGGTGAACTGCAGGGCTCTTGGGAAGCAATCAGAGAGGTGTGGGGTTTCCCCTCTTCATTCGTTAGCACTCTTTACATACTAAAGGTCCTATTTCTTTGTGTATATTGCAAATGTTTTTCTTGGTTCTATTTGGTATTACATCTTCTTGTCTTTAGTTTCTGAATTTTGTACTCAGTGTTTTGACATATAAATTATCAATGCTTGCACCGTCAAATGATCCGGATTTTGTGTCTGTCTATACCTTCGCCCACCTGCAGTGCAAGCATCATGAGGGGTTGTCTGTGGACAGTTGCCCCTCTCCAAGTTAAGCCAGATGGGTAACTGCTGGGACTCCTCCCCAAACCCAACCCCAGCCTTCCCCTGTTGCTGGGGTAACAGCACTGATGTACATCTTATATAAGTTTTTCAAAGCTTGCCTTTATTTTTTCTGAGAGACCCTCCCTCAGGAGCCCAGCTGTGAAGTGTGACCTATAACAGATGTTGCAGTGGGTGGCACAGACACCTGCCACATCCTGTTGTGCTTCCAGCAGGGCAGCAACATGTGCCCAAGGTCTCCAAGTTTGGGGACTGGAGGAACAGTTCTTCATGGGAGCCCTTGCCCTGCACCTTTCTTCCTTGCTGTCTGGATGCCAGACACGGGATGGATAGCACTGCTGTTTGGGAAGGACAGACAAAGCCTGCAGAGCTTCTCCGGGTCCCAGTCTGGAGACCAGAGCTGCACTGGACGGAAGGCGAGGCAGGGCAGCTCTGCCATCAGGTGTGACCCTGGGTGCTGCCTTTCAGGTGGGGACAGTTCTCACAAAGGGCTCTTTTGTGCTCAGCTTCCCCTTGCTGGGGCTGCATTGTCCTCCCTTCAGAAGGGCACAATGGGGCATTGTGCAGAGCAGAAAAGGGCCCCTTGTTCTGGCATCCAGCTCTCGGGCTCAGCTGGCTCCGTGCTCCCTCTCTGGATTTGCCCAGGGTGGGTGAGGCCAGCGGAAGGGTCTGCTGGGAGCTTGCGTCCTCTGCAGATCGAGTTTCCTGCTGGGTCTGTCTTCCCAGGAGGCTGTCTGGAACTGGCTCAAGCACAGGTCACTCAGGGCAGAGCTCCCCCAAGGAGTGGCCGGCTGATTACTGAGATCTCACCCATTTCAACCTGAATTTAATTGAAACTGCACTATGGTACTTTTTGCCCATAAAGGAGAACAACATTCTGACGTGTGCTACCACATGGGTGAAACTTGAAAACATCAAGCTAAGTGAGAAGAGAAGCACAAGCTGTGTGATTCCTCTTGCAGGAATTCTCCAGAATGGGAAACTCCAAGGGAAAAGAAGGTAGCCCAGAGGTCGTCTGGGCTGGGAGGGGGAAGGGGTGTGAGTCTTGGTGGGTGTGGGTTTCCAAATAGAGGCTGGATGTGCAGCATTGTGAATGTATGAAGAGCCATTTACAGTGGTTAATTTCATGCTGTGTAAATTTCACCTCAGTTTTAAAAGTAAAAGAGCAAGGCACTTTTTTTAAAAAGTAAAAGTAAAAGGGAGGCTAAAGCAAGAAAATCACAAGTTCAAGGCCACCTTCAGGGACTTAGCAAGACCCTGTCTCAAATAAAAAGGATGTGGATATAGCTTATTGGCAGAGCACTCCTGAGTTCAAGCCCCAGTACTACAAAGTAAACACATAAAAAATTTAAAAATAAAACAACAAAGAATGTCCTCAAAGTAGTTTCACAATCACCTGGAAGGCTTTGCTTTTGTTGGTGGGGGAAAGTCCACAAAACTCAACCTATTTCTCTGTTAAGGAGCATCTGGTTTAAGGTACAGCTGTCTTAGGCCTAAGAAGTTGCCCCACATCAAAAATAAAACCTCTGCAGATCCAGACTCAGCTGCGTGGCTGAGGCTGGCTCTGGCACAGAGGGGGGGCTGCAGGCCAGGTGGAATCCCCTGGGGAGCTGTCCTGCACCCTGCAGGCCACCTGCAGGCCAAGCTCTGCCTTGAGGCAGGGGAGGGTCCTGAGCTTTACTTTCAAGCAAGAACTAGGAGGAAATGTAAAGCTGAGAGGAGAGGCCAGGGGGAGCTGAGATACTGGGGCTGCCCCAGGACTGTGGGAGGAAAAAAGCTGAGAAAGGGGAATGGGGAGGGAAGGGCCCCAGAGGAGCTGCCAGAACCTGACTGAGCTGGTTGGCATCAGGGGACCACAGCCCGCCTGACCCAGGTGGGCCCTGTGCCCCAGCCACCCACAGCCTCCTCCAGGGCAGCCCCCGGGATGAGGCACACAGCCCAAGGCTGGCCACACTCCCAGCAGCTGCGCAGCGGCTTCACAGAGGAATGAGCCCTCTGTCAGCACCTCGTCCAGCTGTCCCTGGGCACCCCAGCCTGGCAGCCCCCACCGCATCAGGGCCATTGTCCCTGACATGTGGTTGCAGCTGTCTCTGGCACCCACAAGAACCCAGCTTGGGCCCAAGTCTAATCGTGCACCCCTCATTTACCCCAATTTTTCACGTCTTGAAGTCTGTTTGCGGGAAGGGAGCAGGACCCGTCGATACTAACATCTGTTGTCTTCTCTAGGAGGGGTGGTCAGTTTGGGCTGATCCCACCCTGACTGTCCAGCGGCCAAACCCCCGTGGGAGGCTGGCAGGTGCGGGTGGGGGCAAGCAAGCAGGTGCTGTGCCATTTGCTGACCGTGACTCCCGCGGCTGTTCTGCTTGGCTTGGAGGTCTCCTCTTGCGCGTCCCTGCTCCCCCTGCACCCTGGGAGATGTGGCCCTGAGTGCCCTGCAAGCTGGTGAGCCACAGCTCTCGGCAGCATGGAAAGCTAAGCTTCTCCATGCAGCTGCGTCCCAGCGACATAGCCCTGTGCCAAATGCCCTAGTCCTTTTCTTCTACTTGGAATTATATTCTGGATTGGAAGAAATCTTGGAAACTGCCTAGCCTGTGGGCTGGACTGGTCACTCCGCTGGTCATCAGTTACCCCAGTAGTGCTGCCTAACAAATAGTCTTTTAAACCACCAGGCATGTGTTGTGGGCAGGGCCACCCAATGTCGGGCCCTGTGGTCCTAGGCTCGGAGGCACAGCCAGTTTTCTGTGCTTATGACCCTATCAGGGCCTTCAGAAGTAAAGGTTCACCCAACCCTGGATTCTGCACCCCAGCACCCCCAGCCTGGCATAGCCGGGGAGCCATGTCATCCACGGACTCACTGCAGCACTTGACTAAAACCTCCTTCCCTCACTGTTTTCAGGAAGGAAGTGCTTGGGAGACAGAGAGAGCTTTTCATGGGTATGTTTAATTTGCCTTTGGCACTGATGGGTGTCTGGAACCTTCCATCTCAGCAGAGGAGGCCAGGACCAGAGCCAAACAGAACCCCTCTGACCAAGAAGAGATTTCTTTGTGATAGCTCTACTTCAAGCCACCTTTTGCCTTTGTAGTTGTACTTAAAACCAGCTCCACTTCAGGGGTCACAAACATGGACGTGATGGGCAAGAAGCCTCTTTAGGTTGGGAAGCTGGGCTTGGAAGGGTGGACACAGATTTCAGCCTCCTGTGGGCCCAGAAGGCTGCTTTTCTAAAGAGTCCCCATCAGTGTCCTGGCTCTCCTCTTGCACGTAGATGAGACGGCCGCTCCCAGGCCTGTGTGTCACTTCCCAGTGGAGCTCAGTGCCCAGGGGATGGTGGCATGGAGCTAGTGAGGGTGAAGGGCAGAGTTCCAGTGGGCAAGGCCAGGTGGGCAGGCACCCAGAGTTCAGGGTAGCCAGGCACTGCAATGGAACAAGGCTGTGGGGGAACAAGCATGGAAGGGGTTTGGGGAAGAATACCAGGAACAGGGCTGGGGCTGGAGGCCCAGGTGTCTTGTATCAGACCAGACCCTTCTGGTACAAGGTGCAAACCCACTCCACCCCACATGATCAGGGATGGGCCTAGGAAGTGCAGAAGTCCCAAAGAAGTCCCTGCTTGAGTCCAAACACTAGCAACAGACTCTACTGCTTCTGGGGAAGGTGCTGCTGGCAGCTGGTTATAGTGCCAGGAGCGGGCAGGCTGCAGGGGGACCAGCTCCAGGAATAGGAGCCCAGGAAATGCTGCCCCTGCAGGGCCAAGAGGCAGGGATGTGGGCAGCTCTCTGTCACCTTCAGAGTGCGTGGAAGGATGGTGTGTACCAGCTCTCAAGCTGGCGGAAGACGTCAGCTCCACCGAGGGACCCACTGTGGCCCCAACCAGAACTTTTGCTCCAACCAGCGTTCTCAGCATCCCTGAGACCACTAAATTAAGGGAAAGGGGACTAGCAAACAGCTTGACCCAGAGCCCTGAATGTCTGTTATAGGGAGGCGGGACTCCTGGGGGGCACCAAGCAGGGCCCTCTGTGCCCCTCTGCTGCCTCTCTTTGACCCAGCAGCGCAGGCCGAGCTGCCTTTAGGAATCATAGCTCTGAGCAGTTCACCCCTCTCTGTTGCCTTGTTTCATTTCTGCCAGACCAGCAAGCAATTAAAAGCACCAATTAATCTCCAGTGCTGTGCTGGGACACAGTGCTGGCTGCTTCACAGGCCACTTTGGACGAAGGGGTCAAGGGAGGCCCAGGTCAGGGCTGTGGACAGAGGAGGACATGCCATCCTGGGGTTCACAGGCCCACTCCACCCTCCCTCAATGCTTTTCTTTTAAAGACAGCACAAGGACAAGTGGCCTCCATGACTTCAGGATGGCCAGGCAGACTGACAGGGAGAAGGGCAGTGGACGGTCAGCACAGTGGGTATCCTCCTCCCCATGGCATTCAGTCCACAGCTGGCCCTGCAGTTCCCAGCTCCATCTGCACGCAGGCCTCCCACAGGCAGCGTGGCAAGGGGGTCTCTCTATTCCTGGAAGAGCCCACCAGGCCAGGACAGGAACAGGGCTGGTGCTGGAGGCCCAGGTGTCTTGTATCAGACCAGACACACTTCTGGTGTAAAGTGTAAACCCACTCCACCCTGTGTGCCCCTGACTACATGGCCTATAAAAGTACTGGCCCAAAGCCGTGTTTAATCCATACACATGACCCACCTTAGCCATCTCCCTTTCTGGAAGCCATATCCCCCATTCCTGCCAGCCCAACCCTGGTTCTGGCAATTGCCAATGGTGTTCTGCTGGGGTTGTGGGTCCAGTGGCCATATTCCCTCAGCTTTCCCAGGTCCAGGGCCAGTAGTTCAGCAGTGGGTATCTAGTTCAAGTTCAGTCAGAGCCTCCCTCTGAAACCACACAGACCTCCAGACCAGGATGAGGTCATGTGGACAGGCCAGCACCACAGAGGAGGCTGGACACAGGAAGAGCTAAGAGGAAGAGGGTGGGGGTCCTACCAGGGCAACCAAGTATGGCCCATGAGGGATGGAGAGGTGGCTCAAGTAGTTGCCCCTTGAGGTATTTGGGGCTTTTTGTTTTTTTTCTTTTTGCAGTACTGAGGATTGACTCAGGGATGCTCTATCACTGAGCTACCTCCCCAGGTCTTTTTATTTTTTGAGACAAGGTCTAAGCAAGTTGCTCAGGGTGACCTTGAACTTGTGATTTTCCTGCCTCAGCCTCCCAAGTCACTGTGATTACAGCCATGGCCATGGTGCCCAGCTTGGCTCTTGAAATTTAAGTCACCATGGCTCTCTCTGTTCTTGAAGGCCTGTGCTCTCTGCTGCCCCAGGGCCTTTGCACATGTTGCACCTTGGAAATGCCCTCTGCTTCTTTTCTTGAAATTGAAAGCTTCCATCAGCTGAACTGTCAACTCTCTAAGCCTTCTGGGACCACCCTTCTAAAGCCCACTCCCTGTGGGAGCATCTCACCCCTAGAGAGAAGCCTCTGCCTCCCCTCTCAACACCTGCATCTTCAGGGCAAGGGCTGTGTCGTGTGCCCCTGACTACATGGCCTATAAAAGTACTGGCCCAAAGCCGTGTTTAATCCGTATACATGACCCACCTTAGCCATCTCCCTTTCTGGAAGCCATATCCCAGTGTTCACTCAGCACCTGCCTGGTGGCTGAGGACAGGAACCCAAGTCAGCACTAATGGAGTTGGCATCTTCCTGAAAACATTGAGATGGCTGAGAGATGACCCTGGAAGGTGGACTTCAGGGCACCCCCCCAACATGCAGGCAGACTGCACTGGGCCTGATCCTGGGCTGGCCAGGGCTAAGCCTCTCCCTGCCATCCTGGGGTGGCCTGCACATGCATGACAGGGGCTGCCCACCAGCACCCCCCCGTCAGTTCCCTGGGGGCCAGAGTGACCTGGGCCAGGCACTGGACTCCTGAGATCAGCCTCCTTTCCTTCAAGAGCCTCAGGAGTCACCTCATCATGACCTAAGGACTTGAGAAATGAGCCTGTGACGCCCCCTGGGGGGCCAGAGAGTGGCTGCCCTGCTCATCACAAGCATCTAACCCAAGCTCTGCTTTGTGCTTTCTTGGCAAAAGGGATCTCATCATTAAGACCTGTGACCCCAATAGCACCAGGCCAGGGAGGGGCAGATCTGATCCCCCGAGCACAGAGGCTAAGAGGCAGCCTGGCTGGACCAGGATCATCCTCAGTACCTCTGATAGCTCCTCTTTTTGCATGAGTGACTCTCAGTCCAACGGTAAGTCCCACAGGTGCCCAGACAGAAGCCCTACCTGCACTCCACCCTCCCTCAGTGGTCTTCACCGATTGGGATGCTTCAAAGACCACAGAGAGGTAAGGAGGGAAGGAAAGCCACCACAGACTGGCAGGGAGGGGTCTTTCTTGACAGGGGGCAGAGGGAAGGGAGCCAGCTCCCCACCTGTGCTCAGAGGACCGAATCCCAATATGTGAAGGACAGCACTTGGCAGAGACGGTGCCTTCTCAGTCACCTCCTTGTTAGATGTCAGCCCTGGTGGTGGCAAGAACAGGTCCTGCAACCTTCAGGGTGCAAGCTGTAAGGTGTCCCAAAACAAGACTTCAGGGTTCCTCAGCCCAAGGAGACAAGGGCCAAGGCCTTCAGACTAGACTGGAGAGGTGGCACCGGAGCCTGGAGGCTGGGGGGATGGTCTCCAGGGTGAGATGGTCTCTGGGTCTGGCAGCAATGGGATAGGAGGTGGCCCTGGACTGTCTCCCAAGGGCAGCTGAGTTGGTAAGGTGACTGGGGAGTGTGTACTTGTGCCCACCCTCAAGCCAGTGGGCTCTCCTTTGGGATTTTTTCCTTGCAATAAAGCAGCCATTTCTGCTGTCCTAGAAGGAAAAGGATCACTGCGATGTCACAGTTATGACCCTAGGGTCAAGGGCCTGGGACTGCGCAGTAGAACCAAGGGGGCCTTGCTTAGGGTCACCTGGGCTTCACAGGCCAGCTAGAAGGAGATGGCCTGCTTGGGGTGACAGACCGGCAGACCTGTCGCCTCCCTAGATTTTGGGAAAGGAATCCAAACCACCCTTGGGGACTGCCAGGCCTGGGGCCAGCTCGCGGGGGCGGGCTCAGGCGGGGCTCAGCACTCGCCTGGGAAATGTCCCCTCTCCGACCCCACTGTCACCCTGGCCCGCACACCCGCCCCCTCCCCTCCTCTCCAGGCGCCCTAGGCGCAGCGGCCTGGCGTGGCCTCCGCCTCCGCTGGACCACCCAGGCCCGCCCGCCCAGGGTCTGCACCCCCGCCCCGGGTCACGCCCGGAAGGCCCTGGGCCCCCGCGTCCGGCCGCCCCATCCGCCAGCGGCCCCAGGGACTTGACAGCGGCAGTGGTCAGTCGGCCCCTCCCAGAGCCCGCCCCTCTGGCTGCCGGGCTCCAGCAACCGCGCCCCCATCGCTGCCCCGGACGCTGCGGGCGACCCAGGTCCCCCGGCTCGGGGGCTCGCGCTACCTGGACCAGCCGGCGGATCCCGCCGTCGCGTGGCCCAGCGCCGAGGACCCAGGCTTCGGCGCCGGCAGCAGTTGTCCCCGCGCCACGAGGTGCAGGCGGGGCGTCCGGGCTCCAGACCCACCGTGCGCCTACGGCCGGGTCCCAGCGCCCCACTTCCTCTCGCGGCGTGGGACGCACTGAGCTGCACAGGACCAAGCGCCGCAGAGCCCCGCCCGCGCCCCTCTCCCCTCTGGGCTTCGGGGAACGGAGCAGGGGCGGGCAGGTCGCCGGCTGCGGGACGCGCGGGCCCACGTGGTGCGTCCTAGAGGGCGGGGGCCGCGGGCTTCTAGCGGGCGGGGCGTTCGGTCAGGCTCCGCCCTGGGGGGGGGCCGCCGGCCAACCGCGGCCGGGCGGGGCGGGGCCTCGTGCTCGGCTTAAAGAAACTTGTTGCGGGTCGCGGAGCCAGGACTGAGCTGCGGCGGCGGCGGAGCCAGAGTGGGAACGGCGGCGGGGGACGAAGCCCGGGCCCCGCGCAGCGATCTTGGGTCCCGCCGCGGCCGCAGCGCAGGCGGGAGGCGGCCCGAGCGCTTTCCACAGCGTGCGTCGGTCCGCGCGCGGCCCCGATGCTGGACATGAGTGAGTCCCGCGCCCAGCCGCCCTGCAGCCCATCCGGCACCGCCAGCTCCATGTCGCACGTGGAGGACTCGGACTCGGATGCGCCTCCGTCTCCCGCGGGCTCCGAGGGCCTTGGCCGCGCGGCGGGCGCGGGGAGCGGCGGCCGGGGCGATGCAGCCGAGGCAGCGGACGAGCGCTTCCCGGCCTGCATCCGCGACGCGGTGTCGCAGGTGCTCAAGGGCTACGACTGGAGCCTGGTACCCATGCCCGTGCGTGGTGGCAACGGTGGAGCACTGAAGGCCAAGCCGCACGTGAAGCGGCCCATGAACGCCTTCATGGTGTGGGCGCAGGCGGCGCGCCGCAAGCTGGCGGACCAGTACCCGCACCTGCACAACGCCGAACTCAGCAAGACGCTGGGCAAGCTGTGGCGGTGAGTGCAGGGTCAGGCAAGGCGGGCAGGAGCGGGGATGTAGCGCAGTGGACAACCACTTCTTCGTGGGGGAGTGGAGGGGCTGGTGGAGTTGGTGGTCTGTTCCAGGCTCTGGCAGTGCCTCCTCCCGACGGTTCCATGGTGGGTCCAAAGGGGAAAATACCTTCTGGCCAGCCCAGACCAGTCATCAGGTGCAGGTCTGGAGGTGGGTGGAAGGCAGTGGCTGGTGTGGCAGTTCCCAATGCATCCTCCACTCCCAGGACACCCTGCCCTGGACTGTGACAGGCACCGTGAGTGGCCCAGCCCCATCAGGAGGCCTGTAATGCCCAGGGGCAGGCAGCCAGCTGGTATTGGAGGTGCCCCCTCCTGAGAAAGGGCTGAAACCCTGAGATTTCCCATGGAGAGGGAGCCAGAAAGGTCTGCTGGTTTTTGCAGTCCATGCTTCTCCCTTTCCCTAGCTACCTGTCCCAAAGCAAAGAAGGCAGGAGTGGATGAAGAGTGCAGGAAAGGCTTTGTGCACTCTTAGGCGTGCTCCAGCTGGGCGGGTGCAGAAGACAGGGAGGCAGCCGTGAAGGCTTGCTGCTTGGGACAGCCCACCCTGCTAAATGTCTTCTGCTTGGGCTTAAGATGGATGACTTCGGGTTTGGGGTTCTGGTTTCTGTTTCTTGCTCCTCACCTGACCACCAAGTGCTTTGTCTGTGGTTCCTGGCTTCTCCTTGGATCTGGGGCACAGTGTCAGGCACTCTGGACTGGATTGGACAGGATTCCCAGTTGGCACCCCTGAACCCTGCCCCATAGGCAGTTAGCCCTGGGGATGTGTTCTAAACACAGATGCTGGGCTTTGCCATTGCTTCTGGAAGGCTGGCCATGGAGGGACAGCAAACCCAGCTGAGTCCACGCCACCTGGATTTTTGTTCATAGTGTTTTTCTCAGCTAGGTCCTACCCATATCCTTAGAAAGCCCCAAAGGGAGGGATAAAACAGGCTTGGAAAGGGGGATATCAGAGGAGGAGGGTGGAGAGTTTGGGTCTTATTCCTCTGACCACAGTAAGCACACAGACCTGACCCAACGGGCCCCCCAGGCTCCTAGTGGGGAGTGCTGCCTGCTTGGAGCCTGGGAGGTGTGAATGCATGGCAGGGTTCCCTGGTGGAGGGAGGCCTGGTCCAGTGCCCCAGCCTGTTTCCTGGCCATGTCTCACCCAGCCCACTTCCCGGTGGTGTGCGTGCGGGCTGGCTGCACCGTGGCGGCACCAGGCCCCGCGGCCAGCCCTGCTGTGTGCTCTGCAGCTTGCTGACCGAGAGCGAGAAGCGTCCCTTTGTGGAGGAGGCCGAGCGGCTCCGGGTGCAGCACAAGAAGGACCACCCAGACTACAAGTACCAGCCACGGCGGAGGAAGAGCATGAAGACGGGCCAGAGCGACTCTGACTCGGGGGCCGAGCTGGGCCACCACCCTGGTGGCACCATGTACAAGGCTGATGCGGGCCTCCATGGTGACACACACCACCACGGTGACCACACAGGTGGGCTCCAGGTCCCTGAGCATCTGACCTCCTGGGAGAAAGCAACAGTGGGCCTGAGCCCCGGGAAGGGGCTTACCGCAGGGTAGGCAGGCGCCTATCAGAGAGCCAACCTTCCTGGGTACCCTGGGAAAGCCCCCAAAGCCCCTGGTTGCGGCTGTTTCTGACACACTGGGGTGCCTAAGCCACAGGATTGCTGAGGGTCCAGCAGCTTTGCATGGCCAGTGCTCCCTGCAGACATCTCAGCTGGACCTACCCACACTCTCCGTGCTACAGTGTGAGCCACTGGTTGCATGGGGTCAGCAGCACAGCTTTAAAATCAGGCTGAGGTAGTGGGGTCCCTGCAGCCAGGCAGCCTTGAGCCCTTGAGCGTCAGTTGGCCCTTGAGCGTCAGTTGGCCAGAGCCCTTGAGCGTCAGTTTGCTCAGCATGGATGGGAAGAACGGGTCTTGTATGTATCCACCTTGGTTGTGGGCACAGGGCCCAGCATTCTGCTAGTGGCCCATTATTGCTAGCTCTGGTGGGGCCAGGCCAGCCATCTTCCTCCCCATCTTGGTCTTTGCGGGGGGCCTTGGGTCTTCCTGTAGAACAGTGCTTAACGGAATTTTCTTTCCTGGGCCTGCCGAGGAGTGAGGTCTAGAACTGACTGCAGGAATTTCTGGGAAGTGTAAAGAAACAAAAACTCCTTGATTCCTACCTGCTGCCGCTCCCCTGGTGCTGGTGCCGGCCTCTGGCCCCGCCCCGCCCCACAGAAGGGGCATTCATCTACACTGTGCTCTCCTCCTCAGGCCAGACCCACGGGCCGCCCACCCCGCCCACCACTCCCAAGACAGACCTACACCACCCTGCTGGCGGGGGCAAGCAGGAGCTGAAGCCAGAAGGGCGCCGCCTGGTGGACAGCGGCCGCCAGAACATCGACTTCAGCAACGTGGACATCTCAGAGCTTAGCAGCGAGGTCATCAGCAATATGGACACCTTTGACGTCCATGAGTTCGACCAGTACCTGCCCCTCAATGGCCACTCGACCCTGCCTGCAGAGCCCAGCCAGGCTGCTGCTGCTGGCTCCTATGTGGGTACTTCCTACTCCCACTCTGGGGCTAGTGTCGGGGTGTCCCCTGTGTGGGCTCACAAGGGAGCCCCATCAGCCTCAGCGTCACCCACTGAGGCTGGACCCCCACGGCCACACATCAAGACGGAGCAGCTGAGTCCAGGCCACTATGGTGACCAGCCACATGGCTCCCCAGGTCGCTCCGACTACAGCTCCTACAGCGCCCAGGCCAGCGTCACCAGTGCTGCCCCCGCCACAGCTGCCAGCTCCTTCGCAAGCGCGCAGTGTGACTACACCGACCTGCAGGCCTCCAACTACTACAGCCCCTATGCCGGCTACGCACCCAGCCTCTACCAGTACCCCTACTTCCACTCCTCCCGCCGGCCCTATGCCTCGCCGCTGCTCAACGGGCTCTCTGTGCCACCGGCCCACAGCCCCAGTGGCAACTGGGACCAGCCTGTGTACACCACCTTGACCAGGCCCTGAGGATGCTCATCACGGGGACTTGGCCGGGCCTCCGATGACCAAGTCCCTTGTTCCCCTGAAAGGCCTGTGCCAGCCAGCCAGCAGCAGGCAACGTGACCACAATCAGGTGCCTGTGGGGTCTGCGTGCAGGAAGCCAGGCACTGTCACAGGACGTCCCTTTGCCTCCACACTTCTGCCGACAGACATGGCTTTTTCCCTTCTCGCTCTGAGCACGGATAGCCATTTGTCCAATGCCCCTTCTGTGAGGACCCGTAGACAGAGCGCCTGGCTGGGCACCTTGATGGATGGAATCAGCAGCCATGGAACCAAGGATAGGAGGGAAGGGGCCTGAGGTCTCTGGACTGTCCTACCTGGAGAGCCCCTTGGGACCACGGGATGTGTTCCTGCGGTGACCACGTGTCCTTGACACTCAGATATCGCCTGGGACTGACACAGATGGAGGCGTTCCTGGTAGTCACAGCTCTTCCCAGCAAGGTTTGGCTGTGACCAGCACTTCTCTTTTTGTGTTTAATTTTTTTTTTCAGTGATTTTTTATTTTTAAAGCTTAAACGTGTTTGTTTTCAAAGCTGTTAAGGATGTATTTATGTTCTGTATTATTTTATCTTTAATTAATGAAGTGATTTGTGCAGAGAGTAGAACTTAAGACGACAGGAAAGCCAGGAAGCTTTGCTGAGGGGGTGGGGGGGGAGGGAGGTGCAGTGCTTGGAGGCTTTGGGAGGCTGCCTGGGAGGCCCTGAGATGCAGAGGCCCATGAGGCCAGGGCTGAGGGAAGGAGGAAAGAGCTGCCTTGTGGGTCTGATCAAAGTCGATTGCCCTGGCTGGCATCAGGTCGGCTGGGAAGGGAGGACTTGGTCCTTGCCCGTGGCTGTGCCAAATGGTAGAAGACAGAAATTCCCTGAAAGTGAAAGAACAATCTTGGCTCTGAGGCCCTGGTGCCACCTACCAAGCTGTGAAACTAAACCTCCACTAAATGTCTCTGGGCTCCTAGTTGTAGAGACTGGTACTGATTCACCACCCTGCTTCTGCTGTGTGCCGAGCATATAACCGTCTACTTCATGGAAACTTGTGCCTTTGAAACTTTGTAAAGTCGAATACACCCGAGAAGTTGCTTCTTTTTACTTTTTCTACTTTTCCTACCTTTTTCTAGAAAAAAAAATAAAATGTGGGTTTTTTTTTTTTTTTTTTTGCATATCTCTTTCTGGGGGTGGGAACCGCAGCAAACTCATTTTTATGCCATCTATTTTTCAGTGTCAAGTTTGGAAAGACTTTTGCTGTCACTTGCCTGCTGCGTTCTGCTACTTTCTGACCAAGTTATGCTAACTTTTGTACAGATCGATTTCATAAAATTAAAAAAAAAATGCTTTTTATCTATGTGGGCCACGTCTTGTGGGTTGCTTTCCATAAGCCTGGGGCCTGAGGGTTCCTGGGCAGGGCATGAGGAGGTGATGTGTGGCCTGGAGCCCACCAGATTCCCCCAGAGCAGGGCAGCTCTGGGGTGAGCTGATAGGCTGGCTCCCTCCTGGAGCTTCCTGCGTGGGCAAAATGAGTCCAGATGGGGGGCGTTGGGACTGTTTGCTCCAGGCCCATGGGGCTGGTCTCTGGGTGCTGTGCAGTGCCCCACACTGACAGCATTTTCAGGGCTGGCTCAGAGCCAAACTGGGAACAAATAAAGGCTGCCCTGCAGGAGCTGGGCAGGATTGTCTGCCTGGAGGAGAGTTTCTGGGGAGAAAATGGTTGTGGGGAGTGACAGCAGCGGGGGCAGCAGGCCTCTTGCCAAGTCCCGGGTGCACACGGCTGCTCGGGGGCTTCTGGGCTGGCTGTGTCCAGCTGCGCATGCAGCTTCTTGAGGCTTCCAAGCCTGGGGGTGGGCACAGGCTTGTGCTTCCTCCAGGACCCCAGCATGGGAGGAAGCTGCAGCTGCAGGTCTAAGGGTGGCCCCAGTAGGAGACTCTCACCCCATCCCCAACATGCCCTACCGATGCCTCCCTCACCCCAGTGGAAACCCAGTCCAGGGCCTGCCAGGAGCAGTGTACAGGAAGAGCTGCCCTGGTTTATGAGGGTCCCTGAGGTTGGGTATGGCAGGCCCCCAGGGTTGAAGGATCTGGGGAGGGGGCTGCCAGGTTCACGGATGGCTGCAGCCTTCACAGCCTGCTGCCCGTGTGGAACTGGCCCAGCCTGTCCTGTGTCCAGCCAAGGGCTGTCCAGGCCCATATGGCTCTCAAAGCTCCCGCATTGATGTCCCAGACCAAGGAGAGCCCCGGGCGTCCGGCTTGCGGACAAAGCTGTGAGGCCTTCACTGTGCTGGGATCTGCTTTGGGGCTTGCCAGGTTCCCAAGGGCTGTGCCGCCCTGCCAGTTTTGTTTGGACTTGGCAGGGCTCCTGCGTGTTAACTCCTGGGGGCCCGGGCCCTCTGTCTCACCAACCCAGGCTGGTGCCGCTGGGCCTCCTGAGGGTCTTCCTGGGGTCTTTGTGCTTCTGAGTTTCCCTAGGACCAGGACTCATGGCCCCAGCACCTGTGCAGCCCACACCCTTGCCTGGGGCACAGAGATACTCCCTCCCCTTCCTGCATTTTATGCCTGCCCTCTCTGTCCTATTTCCTGGGCAGCACAGGCAGTGGCTTTGTCCATCGTTCTCAGAGGCTGAGCCCAAGGCCAGGTGTCCCAGAAGTCTCCAGATGCTGGGCCCCAGTACTGCACCAAGGTTGTGGCCAGGGAGCAGACACCTAGAGGTCGCAGTCCACCCCTGTGCAGATTCAGGTGTCCCATGTCCTGTGGCCTCTGAGTCTCTTGCTGGTGAACTTCCAGGTACGCAGTGCACCCTGTCAGCCCAGCCCAGGAGAGTTCCTCATTTTTTGTTTCCTTGCCCAGCACAGCAGCGTCACCTCTGACCCCAGATGAACAGAAGGCCCTGTGCAGGCAAAAAGGGGAAATGCCAAGGCCCAAGGCCACCATTTCTGAAGATTGGAAAAGCCCCAAGGTCCTCCTGGGCCTGTGTCAGCTTTCAGCAGCAGATTCTCCATCGGGACCGGTTCGTTGCTGGTGTGGTCCTCCCAAGAGAACTCATGGCCCTGAGCAGCTACCCATCCTCCAGGACTCTCAGGGAGGCAGATTCGGGCACTCAGCCTGCAGTGGCCTCTCTAAGGACCCCAGAGTGAGTGTCAGAGCCTCACCAAGTGACTCCAAGATGGGTGTCAGAGCCGTAGGTTCTGGCCTGCCTGCGCTCCAGGCCTCTGTCTTTCCTCTCAAACCCAGGCCCAGGCCCAGGGGCTTGGGCCTCAGCAAAGGTGGAGGACTGTTGCTGGCCCACCTTTGGCTGCACTATGTCCAGCACAAGCCCCAAAGCAAATCCCTACATCTTCCGGCCACCACATACTAGCAAGCCCTGGGCACTGCTTGTGGACCACTGGCTGGGGCACACTCTGCCAGTTCCATGGCAAGCCTTTGCTTGGCCAGGACCCAGTCTCGGGCCACCAGCACCCCTTTCCCAGATTGATATGAATCCCAAGAAAGAGACAGGTTACCTCCCACCGGGCACCTGGCAAAAAGACTGTTGGCAGGAAGAGGACTCACAGCTGGACACAGCATCTGGCCTTGGCCAGCCCTTCCTGTGCACCATGACATCCTGGCCTGTCAGTGAGGGCACCACAACTCCCGTGACCCAGCAGCCTGACGGAGTTGGCTTAGGCCTGAGGCCATTGCTAGGGGGTGCCAAGGCCTTGGGACCCCCTGTAGGCCCTCAGACGGGGACCTAGGTGCAACAGAGACCTGGAGGGCAGCACAGCCCACCCCAGCCCTTCTAATCTCTCTCGCACTTTCTGCTTCTCCCTGCTGGCTTTGGGTACATGACTTCCCTGGGGAGGAAGGATGTCTGGGTCCTGCAGGCCCAGTTAGATTAGGGTCCACCAGTGGCTGAGCATGCTGTGCACAGGCTGGACGTGGCCTGAGGGATACTGCTGGGGTCACATTGCCACTCTGCTCATTGCGGAATGAGGTGGGCTTTCCAGGAGAAAGCTAAAGTGAACTGGGCAAAGGTGCATGTCCAAGCTGGGGCCCCATGTTGGCCACAGGCACCGCTCCTCCTCACCTACCTCCTGTTGCTGTCCAGGGCAGCTCTGCAGTCCTATGGTGAGAAGCTCCACTTGCTGGCCTGCTGGCCTTCCAGAGACTCAGTTTCCCCATGACCACAGGAGGCTTTCCTGAGGATGCCCTGAACTGGGCTGCTGCAGCTACAGCCAGTGCCCCAGCCCCTGTGACTGGCACCTGCTGCCTAGGTCAAATCTCAAGCCCACTAGTCTCCAGACCCCTCCCTAGGATATACCCCCTTCTGGATCTTCTCCCTCCCCATTAGGCTGGGCCAGAATCTAGGGGATGGCCAGGGAGCCTCTGGATTCCCAGATGCAAGACTTGGTCCCCTGAGGTCCACCCTGGGAAAACTCAAGGGGACTCAGAGGACCCTCTCCCAAGAGGTTTTCTGACTGGCTCATGTCTGGGCTCTTCAGGGGCAACTGGCCCAGGGGGACCCCTCAAAGGGTTAAGGGGTGCGGGCCGCCTTGCCCGCAGCGGGCGGAGCAGTTGGCTGGAGCGCCCAGAGCTGTGGAGGCGAAGGCGCTGCATTCTAATGAATCATTATTGCCACGGAGGCCTTTGTCTTTCTTTATCCGGTGCACAATAAAAGAATTAATTAGACAGAAAATGGCAGGGCAAGGAACTGACAAGTCATTAAGGGCTGCTGAATGACCCATGAGATGCACGCCGGGGCGGATTTCGGCTCCAGAATGATAATGGCTGGCCAGGCTCTTTGTATGCACGACCAGCAGGCCCTGGAGCCGGGCATTGTGGCTGCCATTGTAGCGGGGCCAGGGTGGACACAGGGTCCTGACTCCCCAGGCAAAGCAGAGTGAGAACCGCCACACAGAATCCGTGCACTCATTCCTGTGTGCGGACATGGTCGTCAGTGTTTACACGCAGCCGGGACTTTAGGGAGATTGCTCTGCCCTTTGGACTTCACCTCCCAGCTGGGAGACAGGCACCAGTGGGGTGCCCCCCACACCACTAGAAGCAGGGCGGGGAGGCAGGGACAGGAGAAGGATGGGGAGGAGGACAGAAAGGCAGAGAGGAGCCAGGCAGTGCCCAGCTGTGGCTGATGCTGCCCTGACCACTTAGAGGTCACCAGGAAAGAAGTGCCAGCCACAGGCCAGCTCTCCACTCAGAAAAATCAAGCTCCCTTTGGGGCTGTTTCCTTCACAATGTCCACCCAGCATCCAGAATGGAGGAGCCCAGGCCAGGGTCCTGCTAATTAGGAGCCTGTCACTGGGTCCTGCTGCCCATAGCCTCTTGGCTGTGGAGGCTTGTCCCTTCCTGTCTCTGTGATTCAGTGCCACCCCCTGATCTGGGGCGGGGAGCCGACCCTGCAGGTCCAGCCCCTGGTTGCCTCCGCTGGAAGTCATACCTGTTTCCCCCTCTGGATGTCACACAGGGCTGGGAGGGAGTGTGTGAAACCTGGACAGGCTGCAAGAGGGTGTCTCCCTATCCCCCAGGTGATGAGAGGATCTGAGACCAAGCAGGGTAGGTCAGCCAGCTGGTCAACAACCTCTCCCAGGCTGGGTATAAGGGACAGTGACTTCGCTACAGTGGGCTTTGCCCAGGGCCCCTGGCACTTGTCCCTCCTTTAGTCACAGGGAGATCCTGGGGGAGGGACTGGCAGCCCTGGGACAATCATGAAAGTGAGGTTCTACCCCTCATGGGAGGACTTGAGCCCTGGCTGGGTGGCAAGGCCCTCGCAGGGAGGGCCTGTCCTACCCAGAGGACCTGAGACAGCAGGGACAGGTGCTGGGTGACACTGAGGAGGGGCTGGCAGGGACAGCCCTGGATCAGCTCCACTCAACAGTGATCATACCTGTTTCCAGGTAAGAAGCAACCAGACTCCACTCAGAAGTACCATCACCTTTGCCACATGCCATCTGACATGGGCATGTGTGTGTGTCCCCTCTCAACACACACATGAGACTAAGGTGGGCCTGGCACCCCCTGCATCACCTCCTAGGAGGGGGCCTCACCTCCCTTCTCCCCCAGTTCCTGAGGCCACTCAGTTGTCCAAGGAGCTTGTGGGCTAATAATGGAGTGGGGGATGAAGGTGGGCAGAGGCAGGGGGACCTGGCTCCAGCAGCTCAAGTCTTTACCATGGGGTTTTGGGGAGGTCACCCTGAGACATATGCCTGGTGTTTGGGGCTTGGACAGAGAGAGGAGCAGGGTGTCCAACCAAGCAACCCAAATGTACATGTGTTTCCCAGTACCCTATGCATACAGCCCTGGAGAAGTCATCAGCCTCCCTGCTTCATAGCTCATCTGTACTCACCTCCCCAAG